AGCCGAAGTCCAAAATATTTTTCTTCTCTTTCCAAATTCGTGAACCACTGTTTACTTAAACCCAGACCGTTTTTCCGCTTCTGCGGTTAATACGCCGCACCTGCGGTCACCGCGTATGCGACCAAACGATCGCTTCTGCGATCTCACTTAAATTCCCCCGGACCGCTTATGCGGTCTAGAACCGCTTCTGCGGTCGCCGCATTTGCGGATCCACGTCCGCTTCTGCGGAAAACCCTGGTCCCTCAAGGACCGCTTCTGTGACCAATACGCCGCATCTGCGGAACCGCTTATGCATTCCCTTTTCCGCAGATGCGGAAATGACAGAACCAGCAAACTTCAAACATGCAACAAACTCTGAATTCTCCGTTTAACCACCCGAATTCACCCCGAGGCCCCCCGGGACCTCAACCAAAAGCACATACATGATCTATTACCTTATTCAAACTCGCTCGAACCATCATTACACTATCGTTAACATCAAAATCCTCAATTATCCTCAAATCAAAGCCTAAGTTTCTTAAAAACTTCCGAATTGCACATTCGATCAAAAACCCGACCAAACGATGCCCGAATGACCTGAAAATTTGCACACATATCCAAAATCACTTAACGAAGCTACAGCAACTCTCGGAATTCCATTCCAACCCCCGGATCAAATTCTCACCCATCCACCGGAATTCGCCAAAATACTAACCTCGCCAATTCAAGCCTAATTCTATACCGAGCCTCCAAAATCAATTCCGATCGCACTCCCAAGTCACAAATCATCCCCGAAGCTAACCGAATCACCGAAAATCACATCCGAGCCTTCTAACTCATAAGTCAACGTCCGGTTGACCTTTCCAACTTAAGCCTTCCTTAAAGAGACTAAGTGTCTCATTTCCTATCCAAACCAATTCAATTCAACTATAACTCACTCGTTGCTGATAATGAAACATGAATAAGCAGTAAATGGGGGAAACAGGGCTGTAATACATAAGACGACGGGTCGGGTCGTCACATTAGTATTTTGGCAAATTCCGGTTGATAGGTGAGATTTTGATCCGAGGGTCGGAATGGAATTCTGAGAGTTGCTGCAGCTTCGTTATGTGAATTGGGATGTGTGTGCAAAATTTCAGGTCATTCGGAGGTGAATTGGTAGGGTTTCTGGTCGAATACGTGGTTCGGAAATTTTAGAAGAGCTTAGGCTTGAATTCGATGTAATTTGATGGTTTTGGTGTTAATTGATGTGTTTTGATGATTGAACAGGTGTGAATAATATTGTAGGATGCATTGGTATTTTTGGTTGAGGTCCCGGGGGCCTCGGGGTGAGTTCGGATGGTTAAACGGAGAGTTTTGGAATTTTTGCATGTTGCTAAGTCTGATGCAACTGGTGTTTTCGCTTCTGCGAAGCTTGGACCGCAGAAGCGGTCTCGCTTGTGCGAAGATTGGACCACAGAAGCGGTGATGGGACCTGGGCGCTGATTCCGCAGAAGCGGTTGGGGAAGCCGCATCTGCGAAGCCGCAGATACGGGATTTAAGTCGCAGAAGCAGTTTTTTGGGATTATGGGAATTTCCGTAGAAGCGGAAGGAGATCGCAGAAGCGGAAGTCGCAGAAGCGACATTTTGACCGCAGAAGCGGTTTCTGCTAGACAGAAATATTTAATTCATTTTCGCGAAATTTTGAGAAAAATAACATATTTCACTTCGGACTTGGAGAGTTTTTGGGCGATTTTGAAGAGGGTTTCATGGGCTTTGATCAGGTATGAACTCTTGGGCTTAAGAACATGATTCTATGGTGTAAACACATGGATTATAGCTGGAAACTTAAGAAATTAAAGGTCAAAAATGGAGGTTAGGGCTTGAATTTAAGAGAGCAAAAAAATTGGGTTTTGAGGGGGTCAATTGGACTCCGATTTTGGTGTTTTTTTATATGTATAGACTCGTGGCGAGATAAGGAACCCGTTGGTGTAAGAATTTCTGAGTTTCGAGGAGTGGGCCCGGGGCTCGGGTTTTGCCAATTTCGGGATTTTTAATATTTTTTGATTTGTTTTTGATTGGGTATTGTTCCTTTGGCATATTGTGACGTATTCGTTGTGGTTTTGGTCAGATTCGACGCGCGTGGAGGCCGATTTGAGGGGCAAAGGCGTCGCGAGCTAGAGATTTCGCCGGTTCGAGGTGAGTAATGATTGTAAATGATATTCTGAGGGTTTGAAACCCCCGGATTGCACATCATAGTGCTATGTTGAGGTGACTTGCACGCCGGATAGCGAGCGTGGGGTAGAGCACCGTTGGGGATTATGACTTAGTCCATCCCGATTAATGATTTTACCACGTATTTGATTGAAATCAGTTTGCTATCATCATTATTTGGGCTGAATGCCATATTTGGGCTTCGTGCCAACTATTTGAACCCTTCGGGGATTGTTGTTGATAATTCCTCACTGATTTAATTATTTATATTTGAACTCGGTCATGTTATTTCCTACTGTTTTCAAAACTCAGCCACGTTCACTCAGTTTTAATACTCAAATGATATTTAAATGATGTTTTGGGCTGAGAAACACTGTTTTATTGTTGCCCAAGTGGCTTATGTGATTTTGTTAACTGAGTAAGGCCGAGGGCCTGTATTGTAAGGATACTTATGGATCGGGCTGCGTGCCGCAGCAGTGTTATACTGTTATTGATATGAGGCTGAGGGCCTAGTTTGATGCCACGAGATGGCTTGATATTGCGCTTGGGCCGTAAGGGGCCCCTCCCGGAGTCTGCACACCCCCAGTGAGTGCCATCGACGATAAACGGAGCGGGCTGCACGCCGCAGCGATATGTAGAGCGGGCTGCACGGCGCAGTGGTACCGGTACTGTTTGATGTGTTTACCTTATTTTATTGTCTGCCATTATATGCTGTTTGTGCTACTTCTTGCAATATTTACCTGTTGCTCTGGTATTATCTGATAACCGAGTGTGGTGCCCGAGAGGCGTACTTCTGTGCTTATCTACACTATTTGTTTTGCATTCAATTACATAATTGTTGAAAAAGTCATTTTCAAAAGAGGTTTTAAACTGAACTAAGATATTTCTAAAGTTTTTACAGCTTCACTGCTTTCTCTCAAAGGGTTTTTCACTGTCCCTATATAGCATGATGGTTTGTTTTACGTGATTTCTTACTGCTCAGTTGTTATTTACCCTTATTACTCACTGAGTTGGAGTACTCACTTTACTCCCTGCACCTCGCGTGCAGATGCAGGTATTTGTTCACCCGGTAGCGGGTTTTGGCTTATCAGAAACAGAGCTATAGGAGTAGCAAGGTGACTGCCTGCGTTCGCAGCACCATCTTTTTCTCTTTTGGTTCATTATTCCGGCTTTGTATATTTTAGGTCTTGTAGTGCTCGTGACTTGTGACACCCCGGTTTGGGCTGTGTTTGGGTTTTATTCTACACTTATTAAAGAGATCTTTTAATAGACTGTGGTTACTTAATCATATTAAAGCTGCTTATTAATGTTAACTATTCTAAAAAGATAAGTTGGATTAATTGGCTGGCCTCATCTTCACGAGAGGCGCCATCACGACCGGGTCCGAGTTTAGGGTCGTGACAGTATTACACTGGAAGTATATTTCATTCAAACTACTATATGTCAAATCAATAAAGTCTGCAGAATAAAATGGCACACAATATAACACCAGTATAATATGCTGGAGATTTTTGAATGAATGTCAAAATCTAAGTTTCTTCCAGCATATTATACTGGGAATATCTGTGATTCAAATAATAACACGCATTCACAAGTATAGTATACTGGAGCTTTATGAATTAATATGAAAAACTCATTGAACTCCAATGTATTATACTGGAAGTATCTTTTATTCAAACTACTATAATAATTGTAAATAAAATGGTATAGGATTAAACACCAGTATAAGAAACTGGACTTTGTTAATTTAATATATAAACTTTAGACACTTCCCGTATATTATACTGGAAGTATAATATACGGAAGTATGTGTGACTCCAGGAACCCAAGTATAATAAGCTGGAATTTGCTTAATTAATATGAACAATTCAAGTAATTTCGGCTTATTATACTGGAGTTTATTTTTTAACAATGTAACTTCTAAATATCTAATTATTTGATTCATTAAATACAGGATGCACACAAATTTCTTGGTTATCGCATTCGATGGGAAATGAACAGCAGATTACAAGTACTTAGACCATAAAACAAAGCTTCTCCTTATAAATGATGGGACTACATTTGAAGAATTCATGAGCAAAATTTTCCAAGTTATGGAGATCGACAACGACAAGTTTGAAGTAAAAGTATGGCTTAATATTAACCTAGGTACTGCTAACAGAATACAAGTTACAAAAGATGAAGATCTTACCTCGTGTATGGTGCTCTTAAAAAACGATCCATACTATAAAGGTTCCAAATTTGTTGTTGAAATTTCAGAAATACCAGATTAACAACCAGAAGGTAATGCAATAATGGAAATTGACAATCAACAATTATTGCACAGAACCACATATGTTCAGGAAGAGAAACTGATGCTGATATCTCAAATAGCAGAAGAGCAGGAGATGCCAATTTATGACATGACAATGGAAAATGAAATTGTAAATCCTGTGGAAGATCAACACATCGAATCACTAGTCACTATTGAAGGAAGAAAAAGGAAAGGAAAAGGAAAGGCAAAAGAATCCCCATCAATAATACTAAAGGAAAATGCATCATTGGATGATGTAAAACTCAGTTCTGTTTTTCAAGACCAAAATGCTATGATCAGATGTTTTTGCTTAGCAGCTATTAAGGAGCACTTTTAGTTCTATGTTGACAGGTCAAATAATACAAGATACTCTTTGGTATGTACTGATGAAAAGTGTGGTTGGACTGTTCGAGGTTCAAAAATTAAGGAATCAACACTATTTAAAGTAGTTAAATTTCAGAGATCACATGAGTGCTCGGTTGACATTAGAAAGTCAAATCAAAGACAAGCAACTTCAAATGTGATTAGAGATTACATGATTGACAACTTAAGGGACATAGCTACTGAAGTAAAGCCTAGGTTTGTCATTTCAGAAATGAAAAGATCACATGGAGTAGATGTTGCTTATGGAAAAGCATGGCATGCTATTCAAAAGGGCTTATCGTTATTAAGAGGAACAACTGAACAAAATTATGAGCAGCTGGCATCATATTTGTATATGATCGAACAAAAAAATCCAGGATCATATACAAATATTCAGAGAGATTCAGATAACAGGTAAATTTCTTATGTTTCATTACAATATAGCGGCCTTAGTATATATGATGTAATATTTTATATGGGAAATCTGTCTTTTGATTGTTGTTTTTACTAATATTTTTTGTTTATTGAATTTAGAAATAAATTTTGTCGAGTATATTATACTGAAATCTCGTGTGAATCTTGGTCCTGCAGTATGTTATATTGGATAAATATTATAACATCGTTGAGTTTTGTTTTACTCCAGTATATTTTACGAGACTTAGGCCGTGTGTAAGCTTTATCTCCAGTATATTATACTGGATGAATTCTGTTTAAACTAGAACTTTATTTTATTTGTCCTTACTTTTTTCGAGTGATTATTTGTCTTGTTCTTGTATTATGCTCTTTAATCCAGTGTATAATACTTGAGTTTTGTTTTATTTTCAGTATATTTTAATGCAAGTGTGTCGTTTTTAAGCTTGTTTTCCAGTATGCCTTTAATCTAGTATCTGATTTGAGTTACGTTTCATTATAATATACTGGCCTTCGTATATAAATATGATGTAATATTTTATATGGGAAATCTGTCTTTTTAGTGTGGTTTTGCTAATGTTTTTTTTTTGTTTATTGAATTTAGAAATAAATTTAGTCCAGTATATTATACTGGAAGTCTGTCTTGTGTACGTTTATCTTCCAGTATGTTATACTGGATGAATGTTATCATATAGTTTAGTCTTGTTTCATCCCAGTATATTTTACGGGATGTCTGCTGTGTGTAAGCTTTGTCTCTAGTATATTATACTGGATGAGTTCGGTTTAAACTAGAACTTTGTTTTATTTGTCCTTACTTTTTTCGAGTGATTATTTGTCTTGTTTTTGTGTTATTGTCTTTAACCCAGTATATAATATTTGTGTTTTGTTTGATTTCTGTATGTTTTAATGCAAGTGTGTCGTCTTTAAGCATGTTGTCCAGTATGTTATTTGTATTCAGCTTGTCATATGGTATAACTGAATGTTATTTACTTTTCCAGGTTTGTTTATATATTTTTTATATATGATGCATCAATTTCTGGGTGGAGGTATTGTAGACCACTTATTGCTGTGAATGGAACATTTCTAAAAAATAAATATAGAGGTGTTCTGTTAGTGGCTGTTACAAAAGATGCAAATAATTAGATTTTTCCTATAGCATTTGGGGTAGCGGATTCAGAGAATAACGAATCATATGAATGGTATTTTAGAGAATTAAGAAAAGCAATTGGGATTCGTAAAGATTTAATATTTTTGTCAGATCGACACAAGGCCATTGCAAATGGAATCGCAAAGGTTTTTCCTGAGTGCTACCATAGTATTTGCATATATCATTTGGAAAAGAATCTAAAGCAAAGAAGAGTGAGAAACAATGTACTAAACCTCTTTCAAAGTGCTGCAAGAGTATACCTTCAATCAGAATTTGATGACTTCATGTCCCAAATAGCTGCTGTTGATAAGAAAACATTCAATTATTTGATGGAGGAACCACCAGGAAGGTGGGCTCGTTCACATTGTCCAAGACGACGATATGATATGTTAACAACAAATATTGTTGAGTCAATGAATAATGTTTTGAGACGTGCAAGAGAATTGCCACTTTTAACAATGATGGATTTCATACAAGAAAAATTGCAAAGTTGGTTTTATGAAAGAAGGACAACTGCAGAAGGAATATTCCGCGAGTTATCAAATTGGGCAGAAGCAACATTGGAAGATAAAATTAAACCAGCTTTTACATTTAGAGTATTGCCCATTGATCGACTCAAATTCAATGTCAAAGAAGGGGGGTATGGAATTTATTGTTGATCTAGACAAAAGAACATGTGATTGTTCTGAATTTCAGCTAGATGAGATACCCTGTGAACATGCAATTGCTGCAATTGATAGTATATATCAGAAGAAATCAGCCTTTTGTTCAGCCTATTATGCAAGGGACTTTTGGTTGAAAACATATGAAGGGCAAGTAAATTCTGTAGGTGATTCAACAACATGGGTTATACCCGACAATATTAAATCGGAAATCACTAAGCCTCCAGATGCAAAAGTAATGCTAGGAAGAAGACAGTAGAATCGACATATTTCCGGTACAGAATTCAAGAAGGAAACAAGATGTGGTAGTCGCAAAAAAAAAATGGGCATAACAGAACAAAATGTACAAATTCTGTTGTAGCTCATCCTTATGCAAGAAAATACAGAAAAAAATGATTGATTATATACAATATGGTTGCATTGGCTCATGTGATTATATACAATATGGTTGCATTCTGAATAATTAGTTTGGTATTCTTGTTTTTAAAAATATTATTATTGTTTATTTTTTTTGTTTCTTGATTTTCTAATAGGAGAATAGTATGCAGGAAACAAACTTTTAATTTATTTATTTCGAGCAAATTATATTAGATACAAATTTTCCATTGTCTTACCCATCTCCATTATAATATACTGGCCCATATAGTTTAATTACTAGCTTTTCTAGCATAATTTACAGGAAGCAACTAAAATTAGAACTCTAACAAGAGTTGCATCAGCAAACTTAGTGTAAAAAATCTGATTGTGCAGATCCTGTATAAAATACTGGACATTATAGTTTCTCAAAATATACCTCCAGCATAATATACAGGAAACAAAATTTTAAATTATTTAATTCCAGTAAGTTATTCTAGATACCAATTTTGCACGATTATACAGTTCTCTCCATTATAATATACTGGGTTATATAGCTTCAAGTACTATATGCAGGATTTTTTGATTTTTTCACACATGTAATTGGTAAAACTTTAGTCATTATTCAATTAATTGTTGAATTTCAAGAACAAATTTTTTACTGTCTTACCCATCTCCATTATAATATACTGGCCTATATAGCTTAATTACTATCTTTTCCAGCATAATTAACAGGAAGCAACTAAACTAAGAAATCTAACAAAATTTGCATCAGCAAACTTAGGGTAAAAAATCTGGATTGTCCACATCCAGTATTAAATACTGGACATTATAGTTTCTCAATATATATCTCCAACAAAGTATACAGGAAACAAAATTTTAAATTATTTAATTTCACTTTCACATATCTAACTGGTAAAAGTTTAGTCATTATTCAATTAATTCATGAATTTCAAGAACAAATTTTCCACTATTTTACACATCTCCAATATAATATACTGGCCTATGTAACTTAATAGCTAGACGTTCTAGCATATTTTACAGGAAGTAAGTAAAATAAGAACTCCAACAAGAGTTGCATAAGCAAAGTTAGGGTAAAAAATCTGCATTGTGCACATACAGTATAAAATACTGGACATTATAGTTTCTCAATATATGCCTCCATGAAAATATAGAGGAAACAAAATGTTTAGTCATTATAATATACTGTTTTATAAAGCTTAAATGCGGGATTGTTTGATTTTTCACATATCTAATCGTAAAAGTTTAGTCATTATTCACTTTTTTCTTGAATTTGAAAAGGAATTATTAATAAAATGAAGGCAGATAACGATTTAAACAAAACGATATTATATTAACATAAAATAAAACTACATAGTCTTCTTCCACATATTTCCACAAAACATATGCACCAAAAAAGAAAATAAAAATAAAAAACTAAATCAATCCGTATCATCAGACTCCATTTCAGTATTGTATGCACCATGACCCCCATCTCGTGCAATCCTCTCTATCCTATTGAGCTTCTCCTTCAGTCTTCTCAAGTCCCTTTCATCTCTCTAGAACTCATCANCTTCTATATAGCATGATGATATGACATACGTGATTTCTTACTGCTCAGTTGTTATTTACTTTTATTACTCACTGAGTTGGAGTACTCACTTTACTCCCTGCACCCCGTGTGCAGATGCAGGTATTTATTCACCCGGTAGCGGGTTTGGCTGATCAGAGACAGAGATATAGGAGTTTAACGAGGTGACTGCCAGCGTTCGCAGCATCGTTCTTCTCCCTTTGTTCATTATTCTTGATTAGTGTATTTTTTAGACCTTGAGGTTGTAATTACATTCTAATAGATGCTCGTGACTAGTGACACCCCGATTAGGGCTGTGTGGGGTTGTAATTCCGCTAATTAATATTATTAAGTCATATTTTAGCTATTTATTCATGTTTAAATTATTTTTGAAAAGACGAGTTGGGTTAGTTGGCTGGCCTCGTCTTCACGAGAGGCGCCATCACGACCAGTGCGGGGTTTGGGTCGTGACAAAAAATTGCCAAGCTGGTTTTATGAAAGAAGGACAACTGCAGAAGGAATATTCCGCGAGTCATCAAATGGGGCAGAAGCAACATTGAAAGATAAAATTAAACCAGCTTTTACATTTAGAGTATTGCCCATTGATCGACTCAAATTCAATGTCAAAGAAGGGGGTTTGGAATTTATTGTTGATCTAGACAAAAGAACATGTGATTGTTCTGAATTTCAGCTAGATGAGATACCCTGTGAACATGCAATTGCTGCAATTGATAGTATATATCAGAAGAAATCAGCCTTTTGCCCAGCCTATTATTCAAGGGACTTTTGGTTGAAAACATATGAAGGGAAAGTAAATTCTGTAGGTGATTCAACAACATGGGTTATACCAGACAATATTAAATCGAAAATTACTAAGCCTCCAGATGCAAAAGTAATGCAAGGAAGAAGACAGAAGAATCGACATGTTTCCGGTACAAAATTCAAGAAGGAAACAAGATGTGGTCGTTGCAAAAAATATGGGCATAACAGAACAAATTGTACAAATTCTGCTGTAGCTCATCCTTATGCAAGAAAATACAGGAAAAAGAAATGATTGATTATATACAATATGGTTGCATTGGCTCATGTGATTATATACAATATGGTTGCATTCTGAATAATTAGTTTGGTATTCTTGTTTTTAAAAATATTATTATTGGTTATTTTTTTTGTTTCTTGATTTGCTAATAGGAGAATATTATGCAGGAAACAAACTTTTAATTTATTTATTTTGAGCAAATTATACTAGATACAAATTTTTCACTGTCTTACCCATCTCCATTATAATATTCTGGCCTATATAAATTAATAGCTAGACATTCCAGCATATTTTACAGGAAGTAACTAAAATAAGAACTCCAACAAGAGTTGCATAAGCAAACTTAGGGTAAAAAATCTGGATTGTGCAGATCCAATATAAAATACTGGACATTATAGTTTCTCAAAGTATACCTCCAGCATAATATACAGGAAACAAAATTTTAAATTATTTAATTCCAGTAAGTTATTCTAGATACCAATTTTGCACGATTATACAGTTCTCTCCATTATAATATACTGGGTTATATAGCTTCAAGTACTATATGCGGGATTTTGTGATTTTTTCACATATGTAACTGGTAAAACTTTAGTCATTATTCAATTAATTGTTGAATTTCAAGAATAAATTTTCCACTGTCTTACCCATCTCCATTATAATATACTGGCCTATATAGCTTAATTACTATCTTTTCCAGCATAATTAACAGGAAGCAACTAAACTAAGAAATCTAACAAAATTTGCATCAGCAAACTTAGGGTAAAAAATCTGGATTGTCCACATCCTGTATTAAATACTGGACATTATAGTTTCTCAATATATATTCCAGCAAAGTATACAAGAAACAAAATTTTAAATTATTTAATTCCACTTTCACATATCTAACTGGTAAAAGTTTAGTCATTATTCAATTAATTCATGAATTTCAAGAAAAAATTTCCCACTGTTTTACACATCTCCAATATAATATTCTGGCCTATATAAATTAATAGCTAGACGTTCCAGCATATTTTACAGGAAGTAAGTAAAATAAGAACTCCAACAAGAGTTGCATAAGCAAACTTAGGGTAAAAAATCTGGATTGTGCACATACAGTATAAAATACTGGACATTATAGTTTCTTAATATATGCCTCCATGAAAATATACAGGAAACAAAATATTTAGTCATTATAATATACTGTTTTATAAAGCTTAAATGCGGGATTGTTTGATTTTTTCACATATCTAATCGTAAACGTTTAGTCATTATTCACTTTTTTCTTGAATTTGAAAAGGAATTATTAACAAAATGAAGGCAGATAATGTCACGACCCATTTTCACAATAGATCGTGAGGGCGCCTGACACCCTTGTCAGGCAAGCCATTGCGGAAATATTACTAAAATAATCATATTGTTTTTAATTAGAATAAGTGGAATAAACACTCAACTTGAAATTTAAAACCAGGAGAGATAAATACCATAATAAATAGTTACACAACCCCAAAATAATCGTCTACCAACGTGTGTTCCAGAATCTGGTGTCACAAGCTTCGGGCAACTTGTTGAATATACAACCCAAAGAATACCACACTACCCTACTGTCTGGATCAGAATAGACAGAATATAACAATACAAAAGAAAGACTTCTTCGGCTGCGGATCGACATGGAAGGAAAGCAGCTCACCGTAGAAGTCCCAAGTCTGCTCACGAATGCGCACCAGAGAAATAACCGGATCCACCTGCCTCAGACCCTGTACATTTAAGTACAGAAGCGTAGCATGAGTACATAAACAATATGTACCCAGTGAGTATCCCGCCTAATCTCGAAGAGGTAGAGACGAGAGGTCGACTTGATACTCACTAGGGTCAAGATAATATAATGTAGGTGTGCTATTCTAAGCATAAAAGTCACCAATATTCAACAAGTTATAACAAAGAGCAGTAATCATATTCTTGTCCTTACATCAGTTTCCATTTTACATTTTCAATTTCTAAGCAAGTAGGCATGTCATGTTCAAGTATCAGCATATCTATACATATCATATGCAATCACACCGAGGTCGACGGCCCGCTCCAACAGAATTAAAAATGTGCACTGCCGAGGATCGAACGACACGAACCATAGATGCATCTATTCTCACCGAGGCGATCAGCCCAATCCATAAATATCAAGAAACATCAAGAATGCACACGAAGGTTCATACACATACCAGGAAGCTTTTACCAAGGTTTAACAAGTTCATATGTTCACTTAATATTTCCTTGAAGTCTGTAGCATATCATGAATAATCATAGTGGCAATTTAAATAAGAGATACTTCCAAATTAGGCACGATGTGGGTCCTAAACTAACCATACAATAAATATCATAGTAGCTACGCACGGACTCTCGTCACCTAGTACGTACGTAGACCCCGCATTTAGCAACAATTATTCAGTTATTACCCTATGGGGACAATTCCCTCTTACAAGGTTAGAAAGGAGACTCACCTCGCTCCAAAGCGCGCTCCCAATATCAAGAACAAGCCCAAGCTCTTAATTCGAAGCCGAACGATCGCAATCTAGTTAAAATAGGTAAGAACTAGTAAATAAAGGCTTAAAAGACCAAATTCTAACTATTTAAGTAATTTCCCAACCTTTCCTGCAAGTTTCCTAAATTTCGACCCCGGGCCCACGTGCCCGGATTCCGATATTTTTCGAAGGAAATTGTTCTCTACAACCTAAGGATCAATAATATATAAATTCCAGCCCATTTCATAACAAATTACATGATTAAATCTTAGTTTTATTAAAACCCTAGGTCTAGCTCTAACCCTTTGATTTTACCAAATTTTTAGTGTTTAATCTACCTAATATACATGTATTTAACTAAGGACGAATGGGGATTACTTACCTTACAATGCTATGCTGAAACCCTCTCTTTGGAAGCACCAAAATCGCCCAAGTGTGGAGTGTAAAATGAAAGAATGGTGTTTGAGTTCGAATTAAATGAAGGCCACTGCCCAGCGATTTCCGCTTCTGCGGTTGATGGATCGCATCTGCGATCCCGCATATGCGAAGATGGGGCCGCATCTGCGGAACTGGGCAAGAGGGGACTGGACCGCTTTTGCGGTCTGAGGCCCACATATGCAAAACCGCCTCTGCGGTTACTGGGCCACTTCTGCGGCTTGGCCCTAAAGTGACTGGACCACATCTGCGATCTGCGGATCGCATACGCGGAACCGCTTCTGTGGTTTTCCCCTTGGCCTGCCCTCTTCGCTTCTGCAGTGTTGACCGCATCTGCGGTTCCGCTTTTGGGGCGCAAGAACCGCAGATGCGGTTCTGACAGAAGCAGCAAACCTTCAGCTACTCTTCAATTTTTCTACTCCGCTCGAACCTCGCTCGTTTGACGCTCGAAGCTCCCGAGCCCCGCCCGAACATACCGACAAGTCTGAAATCACGAGGCGGACCTACTCGAGCCCTCGGATCACTCAAAACAACCCTAAATCTTGGAATCGTCCTCTAAAATCAAATGAATCAAACTATTGAATCTTCAAGTTCTAAATTCTCCTCTAACGGGTCAAAACACCCTTAAACTACTCGGATTGACACCAAATTTTACGGGCAAGTCTTAAACGACATTACGGACCTGTACCAAGCTTCGGAACTAAAATCCGAGCCCGATACCTAGGGAATCAATGATTACTTAGTTTCTTTAATTCCTTAAAGCTTCAATTAAACAATTTTTTATAAAAATTCATTACTCGGGCTAGGGACCTCTGAGTTCGATTCCGGACACACGCTCAGGTCCCATATTTTCCCACGGACCCTCAGAAATTGCCAAATCACAAATCCGGGCCCGTTTTCCCAAAATGTTGACCGAAGTCAAACTTGGTCTTTTTAAGAAATCCTAAAGAAGCAAATGGGCGTATTTTTACTCAAACCCTTCCGATTCCCGAACCAATCGCCCCCGCAAGTCGTAAATTAGTTAAAGCAAGTACGGGAAGCTTTATTTAGGGGGATGGGGTTCTAAAAGGCAAAACGACCGGTCGGGTCGTTATATATTACCCCGATAAAAGATTATCTATAGCTGGTACAATAACAGCTTACACAGCAACTTGCACTAGGTGCTTACAAGCAGCTTACACAGCAGCTTGCAGTAGCAGCTTACACAGCACCTTGCACTAGGTGCTTACAAGCAGCTTGCAGTAGCAGCTTACACAGCACCTTGTAGTAGCAATTTACGCAACAACTTCATTTCTTCTATAAATAGAGGAGATTTTAGTTCGTTATATATATATATATATATATATATATCAGTTTGAAGTTGAATAATATATTGATTTTCTCTCTATATTTGTCTTTGATTAATTTACTTTACCGTCTTTATTTTATAACACCATTTCGTAGTTAATGCTCTTTCTAGTGGTTCAAAAGAGAAATTTGTCGAGACAAATCATACGGGTATTAAATATAGATTTTCTTTTCTTAACCCGAGATCGTAATGCGTGAATTAGTAACGGAACAATTAATATGATAATGCAGAGATCAATGCTTCAAAAATTATAATGCAAGGATTATCCGTGCTGAATATTAAGTTTGATATAAGTAGTAGATTTCAAACTAGTATAGAACATACTAATTTAAAATATTTGTTAAAAGGTTTTCTACTTGTATTATGAGGCTCGTTTTTGTTAGTCTTTTTAATTAACCATACATAACTAATTAAAAATTTTATTTTATATTTAATTAACATGTAAAATCTATTGTCTATATACTTTGTAGTCTTATCCGATTATATTTGGTTGTACACGTGTATGATAAGAGGTATAATAATATTAACTATTCTGTAGGAAATATAACTGCTTAACATTTGAATTGAATCTAGGAAATGCTACAACTAAATTCAACATCACCAACACTATGGAGACTGAAGGTCCTGATCCACATAATGTTAAAATTTATTTAACAATTCCACAAACGCATATAGAAAATGGTCTTTAATTCGAGTACTTCGTCTTCATCGTGCAAGTTATTGATTTTTCTGTTTTATAG